GAAACATATAAACATTTCAGTGATGTCTGAAAATTCGATGTAATAATGAAATATCGAAAAAATAATTTAGGCATGCAATATACTATTCTCATTCCATCATGAATCACAATTCATACATTTCATACAGGGTGATTTGAAAAATTGGTGACACCTAAGACCGATTTATTCATACACATCCTGTATATTCGAGTGAATTGTTAACCTCCCAAGATAGCTGATACCGTATGAACATGATTTCGTTGAGATATATAGGGTGATCATAAAGATTTTCGATGATGAAAATGACAAAAAATCGTGTTTTTTGAAATCACCCTGTTATTCATGATTAACTCGGTGAAATTCCCTGATTATTTTTTAATATATTCATCATTCGCTCCTCAACGCTGTCTTGAAAATTCAGTTTCCTATCATGACGGGTGTCATAGTTATTAATTCAGGAACTTACCATTTGCATGAAGAGTTGAAGATACTTGTTCACTTACATTCGCATAGTGGCCGATATTTTTCACAAATAGTGAAACGTGAGAATCTGGAGACAAAAATAAGTTTAGTATTCATATACAGGGTGAACATAAGAAATTCAATAATAATAGCAGATATATGAATTTAATAATATTAATATAATGTACAGATAGTTAGGCGAATTTGGATTCCAGGATTCAACTCTCCCTATTAGAAATGAAAGCGTGAAAGACCGAATCATTCTCGAATCTCCTAGGTATTGTTCGTTTTTCATTTTGGCAGAGCTTGTATACCAACGAAATTCGCTTAACTATCTGTACATTATATTAATATTATTAAATTCATATATATCTGCTATTGTTATTGAATTTCTAATGTTTACCCTGTATATGAATACTAAACTTATTTTCGTCTCCACATTCTCACGTTTCAGTCGTTTCACTATTTGTGAAAAATATCGGCCACTATGCGAATGTAAGTGAACAAGTCTCTTCAACTCTTCATGCAAATGGTAAGTTCCTGAATTAATAACTATGACACCCGTCATGATAGGAAACTGAATTTTCAAGACAGCGTTGAGGAGCGAATGATGAATATATTGAAAAATAATTAGGGAATTTCACCGAGTTAATCATGAATAACAGGGTGATTTCAAAAAACACGATTTTTTGTCATTTTCATCATCGAAAATCTTTATGATCACCCTATATATCTCAACGAAATCATGTTCATACGGTATCAGCTATCTTGGGAGGTTAACAATTCACTCGAATATACAGGATGTGTATGAATAAATCGGTCTTAGGTGTTACCAATTTTTCAAATCACTCTGTATGAAATGTATGAATTGTGATTCATGATGGAATGAGAATAGTATATTGCATGCCTAAATAATTTTCTCGATATTCCATTAATACATCGAATTTTCAGACATCACAGAAATGTTTATATGTTTCACTCTGTAAACAATTACATCATCTGAACCATCTGAATTATGTTGGGTAATATGGAGGTTCGTTAATGATATGAGCGAAGAAAATTGTACTTAGCATCTTTGAATTTCGAGAAAATAATTAAATAAAAAATACCGATTTGTAACTTCAATGCCCTGTATCTCAGAATCTGTTCATCAAAGAACTTTACGATTCTGCAGGTTCAATCAGTTCATCGAATTCTACAACATACTGAAAATTCAGAAAATTTCACCGAGAACCATTTTACGTACTAAAAGTGCGGGGTCCTTTCACGTCGATAATTTTCAGATTTCGAAATAATGTAATATCTTCTCAATATTGATTCGTCCTTCCTTCTGTCACAGAAAAAAATTGTGTATTATACACGGGAAAAATATTAGATTTTAGCTCACGGTTTTTTGTCTCCCTCCGCTACGCGTCGGGAGACAACACAACCTGGAGCTAAAATCTACTACTTTTTTCCCTTGTATAATAAATAACTATTTCGGACCCATGTACGTGGCAATGAACTTTTTTCTTTATTTTGCTGATCTTCCTTAGGCTTTTACCACCACAACTCATGATCACTCTGTATAATGAAGCGAAAGGGGTAGATTGATGTGATGTCTTATACAAGGTGATTTTAAAATAGGTGGTCAAACTTTGGGAGCATATAGAGTGGGTGAAATAGTTACGAAAACCTCTGAAACATTTTTTTCTGAAGTGACCCCCAAGAAAGATACAGCCCCTCAAAGGGGGGCCTCGGAGAATGATTTTGTATTATAATCTCCAACACCTTGTACAATGAAAATCTGAAATTTTGTCCATCCACTTACTATTCAGTGCCGAGTGCCGGTTCGAATGGAGTTAAAATCACCTCGAAATGAAATACAGGGGTGTGTCAAAATAAGGAGGTAGGGGGTAAAAATAACCCCAATTTTTTGTTCATCGCAATTTCAGTTATTTGACATGAAATTATGAAATCTCAGGGCTATTTACATAGAAAAGGTGCTCGCTCTTGTTGCATCTCGTTATAATGAACTATTAACGAATAAAAGGACCCCGCACGAAAACACGGGAAATTGGCTCTCGGTCGAATTGGCTGAAATTTGACTATGTTGTTGTGGGATGGCTCATTAAAAAAATATGTGAGTTTAAAAAGTTTAGTATGGTATGGTTTCTGAGATATAAGCCTACAAAGTTCGTAAAAACGTCGTATCGGGGTAGGATTGACAAAGAAAAAACTGTTTTTTTAGTATAAATGAAACAAAATAAGCTAAAAAATGTATTGGTCGGAACTCATAAACATGTCTAGTTATAATCACATGAATAATAGTAGATCAGGGTGTATACGAGGCACGGTCAAAAAGTTCATTTTTCGGAAAAAAAATTCGAGCACTATTCCAAAACCAACAAGTTATATTTTGGTGGGACATTATAGTTTTAGTCTATTGTAGGCTTTGAAAACGTATTTTGATTCTTGATAACCATCTCTGTTCGAAGTATGAATTTTTAGAATCTTGTGTTACACCTTTTTTTGAAAACAATTGACAGCTTGTTTTTGGTCACAAAGAAAGGGATTGATTGAAACTGTTGATTGAATGAAAGCTGAGGAAACTCTCTAGCGAATTCAGTTGTTCAATATTGCCTTTCATTTACATACAGGGTGTGTTAGATTTTGTTGAAGATTATTTAACACGTTTCAATTGAATATCCCGAAAACAGTTTCGTCAATTTGGATCTCATTTTACACACACTATTTTCAATATGTTGACAATCATATGCAAAAAGTGTTTTGATTTTTTATGTTTCGTTTCTGAGATATGCATTTTTGAGTCTACAGTATTACAGGTATTATAGTGTTATTACCTCGGATATTAACTATCAAAAATTGATATCTCAGAAACGAAACATAAAAAATTGAAAAACTTTCTGCATCTGATAGTCAACATATTCAAAATAGTGTGTGTAAAATGAGATCCACATTAACGGAACTGTTTTCGAGATATTCAATTGAAACATGTTGAATAATCTTCAACAGAATCTAACACACCCTGTATCTAAACGAAAGGCAATATTGAACAACTAAATTCGCTCGTGAGTTTTCTCAGCTTTCATTCAATCAACAGTATCAATCAATCCCTTTCTTTGTGATCAAAAACAAGCTTTCAATTGTTTTCCAAAAGGGGTATAACACAAAATTAAAAGAATTCATATCTCGAACAGAGATAGTTATCAAGAATCAAAATACGTTTTCGAAGCCTACAATAGACTAAAACTATAATGTCTCATCAAAATATAACTTGTTGGTTTTGGAATAGTGCTCGAATTTTTTTTCCGAAAAATGAATTTTTTGGCCGTGCCTCGTATTCACCCTGATTTACTATAGTTTATATGATCATAACTAGACATGTATTTGAGTTCCGATCAACACATTTTCTAGCTTATTTTGTCTTATTTATGCTGAAGAAACAGTTTTTTTCTTTGTCAATCCTACCCCGATGCGATGTTTTTACGAACTTTGTCGGCTCATATCTCAGAAACTAAACATACAAAACTTTTCAAACTCACATATTTTTCTAATGAGCCATCCCACATTAACATAGTCAAATTTCAGCCAATTCGACCGAGAGCCAATTTACCGTGTTTTCGTGCGGGGTCCTTTTAAAAAAGCTTGTTTTTAACAATATTTTTTATTTAAGTATTTTCAATAGGATCAGACCATAATCATGAAACTCGTCGAATATTTCTAATTCATGAATTCCGACAACGAATTCAAAATTTCCAACCCTAAAAACCCTTACAAACCAATTTGAATCGAATCGGACCATAATCACAAATCTGGTCAGCTACATTGGAGCCACCATATTTTCTTCTATCAAAAAGTCCATAACGCGTTGTCAACTGTCTTCTGCCAGATTCCAAGTTGATCAGACGATTAGAAGTAGGTAAAAATTCAGTTGCAAGATTTGAACTAGATAATTAAACTTGAGTGCATACCAAAATTGCAATTTGAATGAAATCTTGGAAAAATAAATTTTATTCGCTAATGGTTCAGTTTATCGAGATTCAACAAGAGCTCCTATTCTATGTTAATAGCCCTGAGATTTCATAATTTCATGTAAAAAATTGAAATTGCGTTGAACAAAAAAGTCGGGGTTATTTTTACCCCCTACCTCCCTATTTTGACACACCCCTGTATTTAATTTTGAGGTGATTTTAACTCCATTCGAACCGGCACTGAATAGTCTCCGAGGCCCCCCTTTGAGGGGCTGTATCTTTCTTGGGGGGCACTTCAGAAAAAAATGTTACCAAGGTTTTCGTAATTATTTCACTCAGTCTATATACTATATACAAAGTTTGACCACCTACTTTAGAATCACCTTGTATATCAATATCATTCGACATTTTGAAAAATGTTTAATGATAGCGTTAGATCTTGAGAAATTTATTTTTTCCTGAACCATCCAGCTCGGAAGAATAACTAAAGTGGTCACAAATAAAAATTCCTGTCAATTTCGTTGAAGTTCAAACAGTTCTACGACCTTCGTAATCCACCGATTTCTAACGCAAAATAAATTTCAGGTTGGTATATTTTGACGAACCTAGGCGCCATCTTTTACGCAACCTATTTCAACTCTTCTTCAATCGCTATTCCACCTCCGGAAACCATCATCCATCATCCTCCCTCAATGTTAATCGATCCACCGACCGACAAAATGGCTGAAGAAAATCCCAAATTGTCTGACGAGCAACTGAAAGTGATAACTGATTCGTTGAAAACCTCCATGAGTGACAGAGACAGGTATAATGTCGAGGAAATAGTTGCAAGCGTAATGCAAAGCTCAGGTTTCCAAGAAATTGTGCAAAAACTCGATGCTGCTCCATCAATCAACAACCAACAAACCATCATCGATACTTTGGTAGAAGAGCTCCACAAGCTCAAAGAACACATGGCACAGCTGGACAAAAATAGGCTGGAAGACTTGCACACTATATCCCAGTTGAAAGCCCAGAACCTACAAAACACAGCTCACCTAAGCTACCACTTGACCAAATGTTGTCGAAGACCAATCATCAACGTCGAAAGCTACGTCAAAAAACTACTCTCAGACATTCTGAACGATGCAGACTTCCTGAGGAACCAAAAAGGCTTCAACAACTACTTGCAAGCAGTTTTTGCAGCTAAGCAAGACCTAGAAGCGAAGCTGAGCAACCTGACAGCTCATCTTAGCTCTAAGTTCGACAGTGCAATAGAAGAAAGTAGCTTCAAACTGATGGAAGAGGTGTCTAAGAAAGTCACTAGCTTCATCAAAAGCAGCAGCTACTCACTAGCAAGTGGCTCAGACAATTCTAGCTTCTCTGATGAGAGAGCGAGAGAGATAGTGAGACGTGTCCTCAAGATTTACGATGCTGATAAGACTGGACTAGTCGATTATGCTATGGAGACCATGGGAGGTCAGGTTTTGAGTACGAGGTGTACAGAAACTTATCACTATGGCAAAGCTGTGGTTTCAGTGCTGGGTATTCCATTGTGGTACCCTGTGAATTCGCCTCGTACCATTATAACGCCCAGTATCAATCCTGGGGAGTGTTGGGCCTTCCAGAACTTCCCAGGCTTCGTGGTACTAAGGCTGTCTAAGAAGGTGCAAGTTGAAGCCTTCAGTTTGGAGCATATCAGCAGGCTTTTGGTGCCTAATGGGGACATAGATTCTGCCCCTAAGGAATTTCAGGTGTTTGGTTTGAAGGATGAAGAGGACAAAGAGCCTTTGTTGTTGGGGGAATATGTTTTTGATGTGGAGGGGGAGCCTTTGCAGTTTTTCGAGGTGCAAAATGGCGGTGGGGTTTTCGAGATAGTGGAGCTGAGAGTGCTTTCTAATAATGGCAATCCGAATTATACGTGCCTTTACCGGTTTAGAGTTCATGGGAAGTGTATTACGTAACGGTTCACTAACTTCGTGCACTGACTCATGAACAAGAAATGGAAGGAGAATGCTAGTTCTCAGTTTTGAGCTGATTTGAACTCGCTTGTACCACGTGATCGACTCGGAAAAGTTGGTTGACGAGTGTGCGCAGTACGTATACAGATTGTTTGTCGAATCGCTGCATACAGTGGATTTCATAAAGTTGGCATAATATGGGAAATACTTCTAATGATAATTTATTTTGAGAGTCGACTCGGGGGGTTGAGTTTTGCTTAAAAAGAGATGAAAAATGGTCTAGTCGGTCGGGGTCACGTGATTTTCGCTACATGTCAAACGTTACATTTTCTATTCATATTAATCGCAAAAAATTGGCTTATGTGTTTGAATTTTAAAAAAGTTCACTAGGACTAGAGTCACTGGATGGTATTAGTTAGCTGTCCTTCTGTCCTTTTCTATTTTCCATATTAAAATGGTTTGAGTGAATAAAAGAATAAGGCAAATACACTATTGGACAAAAGTAGAGCAACAAAGTGCTGTTATTTCTTTGAATCTGAAGATTTATTTATATGATTGTGATCCCCGGCTAATTTTAATGAAATATGATCCCCACAATATCAGTAATATTTCACAAAATAAAGGTAGAGAAATACTTATAATTATCAAAATCGACGAAATGCAGTGCGACATAAGTAAAGCAACAAATTGTGTCAACAGTATTTTATTCTAGATATTACGATGAAAGAACATTTAACACATTTAATAATTACAATAGCCAGAAGTATTATATTAATAGTTAATAGAATATCCATTATTATTTATTACTTGCCGATAACGTCGCGGCATTGAATCAATTAATTTTTGAAAAGTATTTTCTGGAAGATTTGTCCAAACTTCATTGATTTTATTTACCAATGATTGTTTATTTGGAAATATTTGTGTACGAATTCCACGTTCTACTTCCTCCCATAGATTTTCAATGGGGTTAAGGTCTGGGGATTGTGCCGGCCACTGCAAAACCCGAACATTATTTCCTTGAAACCACTCTTGAACAATTCGTGGAGAGTGTTTTGGATCGTTATCCTGTTGGAAAATAAAACTTAACGGCATTTCCCACTCTGCATAAGGCAACATTACATTTTACATTATATCTCTATAGACAAATCGATCCATGGTGTCATTAATAAAGCTTAAAGGGCCTACCCCATTCCATGAGAAACAACCCCATAGAAAAACACTGCCTTTACCATGTTTAACTGTTGGTGTAACGTATTTGGGATTAAACCTTGTTTTTGGGTGTATGATAAATTGACATTCATCATACAGGGCGTGGAAATGAATTCTGAATTGAGACTCTATCACGAATCTGCGATTAGAGGTCTATAAAAATCACAAGTTTCCATCGTTCAAGTTTGAACCCCCTGATTGGGCATGAAAGTTTTGAAAAGGAATATTCTCAGATAAATTATGAACATACAAAAATGGATATACACTGTGTCCATAAAGTCACCCCCCCCCTGGTTAACTATTGAACGGATGGGATTTTTTTTTTCAATTTTTTTTTGCTTCAATGGTAGTTTCAGTGCTATATATTGTTCCAAAAAAAAAATATGTATCCTCCAAAATGGCGCCTGGGCGCCATTTTGGAAGATTTTTTTAAATGGAGTGGGGGGTCGAAAGATACCTCGATTGAAAGGTCTTTCGATTCTCTATACAACCTCAAAATCTCAGACAAAAATATTCATCCAAAACAAAATGGCGGATGATAACGTTTGAAATCTCACACCAGAATTCTTTCAACTGGATGGCTATTAAAGTGCTCGCATGTGATCTTCAAATCTTTATTGGCGTATAGAAGAGTTCTCTATCTATGAAGATATCAATAGAAAGCCATTTTGAAGAGAATAACATGGTAGTCACGTGGAATAAACATTGTTCTTTATTTTGAATAAATATTTCTAAAATTTTGCAGAATTTGGAAAGACAATCGAGGAAAGGTATAATTGACTACCATGTTATTCTCTTCAAAATGGCTTCCTATTGATATCTTCATGGATAGAGAACTCTTCTTTACGCCAATAGAGATTTGAAGATCACATGCGAGCACTTCAATAGCCATCTAGTCGAAAGAATTCTGGTGTGAGATTTCAAACGTTATCATCCGCCATTTTGTTTTAGATGAATATTTTCGTCTGAGATTTTGAGGTTGTATAGAGAATCGAAAGACCTTTCAATCGAGGTATCTTTCGACCCCCCACTCCATTTAAAAAAATCTTCCAAAATGGCGCCCAGGCGCCATTTTCTAGGATACATATTTTTTTTTGAAACAATATATAGCACTGAAAATACCATTGAAGCAAAAAAAAATTGAAAAAAAAAATCCCATCCGTTCAATAGTTAACCAGGGGGGGGGTGACTTTATGGACACAGTGTATATTTATATAAAGCAATACATTGAGAATTCGCATTCTCTATGTGATGAGAATATTTACTCTTTTTCAGTTAATTCAATAGAAAACAACTACTTTCCTGGCTATATGCCACGACGAACATTGAATTATATCTATTGAACACACACGATAAGAGTTTGAAAATAAAATATAAAAATTTCTGAAATTGAGAATTTGCATTCTCCTTCAGACAAAAATATGTATATACACACATCATTCTGAATATTCAACAGAAAACAACTACTTTCCTGGCTACTTGCCACGTCGAACATTGAATTATTTCTGATGAATATTCAGAATGATGTGTGTATATACATATTTTTGTCTGAAGGAGAATGCAAATTCTCAATTTCAGAAATTTTTATATTTTATTTTCAAACTCTTATCGTGTGTGTTCAATAGATATAATTCAATGTTCGTCGTGGCATATAGCCAGGAAAGTAGTTGTTTTCTATTGAATTAACTGAAAAAGAGTAAATATTCTCATCACATAGAGAATGCGAATTCTCAATGTATTGCTTTATATAAATATATATCCTTTTTTGTATATTCATAATTCATCTGAGAATATTCCTTTTTAAAACATTAAACCTTGTGTTGATTGGCCGTCTCACACGCTTCATTCCATCAGAATTGAAAATCTTATAACGCGTTTCATCGCTGAATAGAACTTTTTTCCACTCGTCTACTGTCCAATTCAAATGTCGACGTGCAAATTCAAGCCTAGCCACTCTATTTCTTGCCGAAATAAGCGGTTTTTTAGCGGGGCGTCTGCTAAATAGCTTTGCATCTAAACCTTCTTTGCACTGTTCGTGGACTAACCATAATTCCGGGAATTTCAGCAATAATTCTAGGTGCAGACAACCAAGGATCGTTCTGAGAAATTCTTTTAATACGTCTGTCTGTCCAAATTATTGTTTTTCTCGGTCTTCCCGATTTAGGTAGAATCTCAAAATGTCCCCTTTCTTGATGGTAACTTGAAATTATTTTGGATACGCTGTATCTGGGTAAAACGAACCGTCTTGAAATTGTGGCTTGTATTGCACCTTCCAAGTGCGCATTTACTACTCTCTGCTTCAATTCTTTCGCAATTGGAATTCCTCTTGGCATGATTAATCCAGCACAGAAATATTAGTTAAACATAAAATGAAGTCGGCAATTTTGTTTGACTTTTCCTTTCACTAAAACCTTTGTTTTTTAGAAAAATATTAAAATGTTGCTTTACTTTTGACGCAATATCAGTTCATTTGTTTTGATTGTTGGAAAAAGCTGTTGACGTTGATAACAGCAGCCTACTTTGATATTTAAGACACAATGTATTTATAAATACAATATCATGCATTCACTATTATAAAATCGAGATTTCTTTCATTTTTCGAAAGTGTTGCTTTACTTTTGTCCGATAGTGTATTCTGCTCTTTGTCTTATCAATTTCCGTAGTAGCGCCTGATTGTCAGATACGTTTTCAGAGGTTAGATTTTCTGTCAAATCAATCATTGTCGTAGATGGAAAATAGAAATAGGGTATAAACAACCACTTGAAATTTTCAATTTCATTATGTCGTTTTGCAATCAGTTCCTCGTTTTCTATGATAATTCTGTTTTGCGCATTTCATGTTATGATAATATTGCTTTTTTTTTCAATAGTTACTGTTTTGTAAATCAATGGAACAGCAGATTCTCTCAAACGGATCTTCTGTTTGAAAATGGGCCTAAAATACAGGGTGTCCCTTCGGGAACTGCATCGGTCAATATACAGGGTGTTTCCTAACTACGGTTCCTAACTGCAGGGGGTGATTTGTTAGGTCATTTTGAGAAGAAAAGTTCTCATGAACATATGTCCGTAGTTGCTTCGTTTCTGAGATACAGGGCGTTGGAATTAAAGAAAAAAAACGGTGATTATAAAATATCATGAATATCCTGGAACCGATTTGATTGAAATTTGGTACTTTTATTTGTCAAATTTTTTAAAGTTCCAGCATATCAAGTGTCAATCAAATTTTTGGCGAAAATAATGAAAAACTCATTTCTCCAATGCAGGTGTTCATGATATGCAATACAGTGGCTTTGATTTTTTTTCTCGAAAACGAAGCTAGATACGAAGAAAATGCAGGAGACCAAAAAGTTGAATTTTGAGTTGCTCCATCTAAAAAAAATAAAAATTTACCAAAAAAAGTCAGTGGCGTACTTTTTTTTCACAATATTGTTGGCTGTCATGCCCACTGAGACGCCACTGGCCCCAATAATTTCAATCTAAATAGGGCTAAATAAGCGCCCTATTAGTTCAAATGAAAGTACCAAATTTCAACCAAATCGGTTCTAGGATAATCATGATATTTTATAATTACCGTTTTTTTTCTGTAATTTCAACGCCCTGTATCTCAGAAACGAAGCAACTCCGGACATATGTTAATAGGAATTTTTCGTTCTAAAATGACCTAACGAATCACCACCTGCAGTAAGGAACCGTAGTTAGGAAACACCCTGTATAGAAAACCATTTGATTTGAAAATCTGAGAGTTCACTATTGTTGATAAGTACTATCCCGCTAAAATATTTTGATGATTGTGGCACTTCCGGTTGTACCGGAAGTGGACCCCAACTTCGTTATTTCAAATGGGACACCCTGTATATCATCAAGGTTTTAGATTTTACGCATGATTCTGAACATGTTTCATGTATAATGTCCTATACCCAAGTCTAACCTTTTTCGAAATATTTCAAATTTTAAGTTGAAAATCGCATTTGCAGACCGAAAAATATTGTTTTTAATTACTGGACATGATCATTAATTTTCGATTGTGTATCGATTTATTAGTAGGAGAGGACCCAGTCCAGTAGAATTTCGATATCAATTCGATTACCGTTCTACAGGGCGTTCACCAGAAAATGATATAGATCCGGTTGAAAAAATTATTGTAAGTCAATTTTTTCAATTGGAAACCTCCCCAAATTTATATTCTCATTCGATTCGGCATCAAAAATGAAGCTAACTTTTTAATAAGGTTATCTATGCCTACACTCGACAGTTTT